ATCAAAGAGTGATCTGTGCCTTGTGTTATGGTCATGTGTTCTGTTGAGGTTGGCAAGGAGATGTTTGAGGGGAGGGTTAATATCAGAGTTTAGCATTCTGTGTATGTAATAGGTGCAGTAATAAGTATGGATGTTTTGTATGGTGAGTAGGTTTAGTGTTTTGAATATTGGTGGAGTGTGCTGCCTGTAGTGGGAATTTGTTATCATTCTGACTGCAGCCTTTTGTTGGGTAATTAGTGGTCTGAGATGGTTAATTGTTGTTGAGCCCCATGCACAAATTCCATAGGTGAGATAGGGGTAAATAAGAGAGTGATATAGGGCCAGGAGGGCTGACTGTGGAACATAGTACCGTATCTTCGATAGTATGCCTACGGTCTTGGAAATTTTCTTAGAAATTTGTTGTATATGTGTATGAAATTTGAGTCTATTATCAAGGTGGATTCCTAAGAATTTTCCCTCTGTTAGCTTTGTGATAGGTGATCCATTTATCATTATGTTAAGAGGGACATCTGTAGCTCTGTTACCAAACTGAATGAAGTAGGTTTTGTCAATGTTTAGTGTAAGTTTGTTAGTCCTCATCCAGGTAGATATTTTCTGTAATTCGGTATTTACAGTATTGGCTAGCATGACTGGGCTCGGGGTGAGAGAAGACATATGTAGTGTCATCTGCAAATAGTGTGGGTTTGAGTAATTGTGAAGCATTTGGTAGGTCATTTATGTATAGGAGAAAGAGAAGAGGGCCAAGGACACTTCCCTGTGGGACACCAACTGTAATTGGTTGTGCGGAAGAGTTTGCCCCATTTGTGTACACATATTGGCTTCTGTTGCTGAGGTATGACTTGAGGTAGTTGAGGGAGAGTGCCCTCTTATACCATAGTGTGACAATTTTATGTGGAGCAAGTCATGGTCAACTGTAACAAAAGCTTTACGTAAGTCAATGAAGATCCCCAGTGGGACTTCTTTTTTCTCTATTGCAGTGTATATATGTTCTAGCATGTGTATAATAGCATCATTAGTATTTTTATTAGGCCTGAATCCAAATTGGCAGGGGTTGAGTATGTTTTGGGAGATGAGGTAGGAGTAGATTCGTTTATGAATTAATTTTTCGAAGATTTTTGAGAGAGGGTGTAAATTGGATATTGGCCTATAGTTATTCAACTCTGTTTGGTCTCCTCCTTTATGGATCGGGGTGACCCTTGCTATTTTGAGAACTGTAGGGAAGGTATTGGATTCAATGGATTTGTTAAAGAGTGTTGCAATGATTGGTGATAGCACTTGTGACACTTTTTTGTATATAAAGGGTGGTAAGGTATTTAAATCTCCTGCCTTGTTTTTTAGTGTGTTGATAATAAGGGAGACTTCGTATGGGTTAGTCGGAGCTAGGAGCAGTGTGTTCAGGTAGTTGCCAGTGAGGTAGTCATTTGGTGGGGTATCTGAGCTTGGGATTTTATTGGCAAGGTTTTGTCCTATAGTGGAGAAGAAATCATTGAGTCTATTTGCTGTTTCTGTTGGTGGGAGTTGGGGTTCATCTGATTTTGCTAATTTTATTTCACTATTTCATGATATCTTTTTTGTTCCCAGAATTTCTGATAGGGTCTTCCAGGTCTTTTTTATATCACCTCGTAAGTTGGATAATCTGTTCTCATAATACAATTTTTTTGCCCTTCTTATCAGGCTGGTTAGGATTGACGAGTAACGTTTTGTTTGGTCTCTGGTTATGTGACCCATTCTGTACTGTTTTTCATATCGGTGTTTTGTATTTATGGATTTGAGAATGCTGGGTGTTAGCCAGGGACTGTTCAGTCTCTTAGCTGTCATCTGTTTAGTTTTTTTAGGGCAGTGCTTGTTATAGAGGTATTGAGTCTTTTTTAGAAAATTATTAATACATTCATCAATATCTGTATAGATTTCTATCTCAGTGTGCCAGTCAATGTTTGTTACTGCTGTTGTGAAGTTATTAATGGCTGCCTCATTGTGAAGTCTGAAGGTGACTTTAGTAGTGTCTTGGGGTAATTTACCAAGAGTTGTTATGAGGAAAGTAGGGTAGTGGTCTGTGGTATTATCTGTGATTATGCCTGATTTTAAAGGGGATATGGTGTTGGTCCAGATGTGGTCAAGTAGGGAAACACTAGTCTCTGTAACTCTTGTAGGTTTTGTTACTGTTGGTAGCAACATGCAGTTACTCACTGTGTTTGTGAATTCAGTAACGTGTGGGTCCTGGTCTTGCAGGAGATTTATATTGAAGTCACCTGACAGTAGTAAATGATCTTTGTTCATGCGTGCATCAGTTATCATACTTCCTAGGTTTTGACTAAATCGGCTAATGTTTGACTGTGGAATTCTGTAGATGTTTATCAATGTGAGAGGTTTTTGTAGGTATTTGGATTTGAATTTAGCTATTACATATTCCCCATGTTCATCCCTTGTGCAAGTATTAGTGATACATTCTAGTTGGTCTGAGTACTATATAGCTGTGCCACCCCCTTGTTGGTCTGGCCTACAGTTGTGTATGGCTGTGTAACCAGGAATGGCATAGACATCTGTACTATCAGGCTTTAGCCAGGTTTCAGTTAGTGTAATGAAGGACATATTGGCATGCAAGGAATTGAGTAATGCTATGAGGTCATCGTAATGCTTGCTTAAAGATCTGATATTGTAGTTAAAGACAGTTATGTTGTTGTTGGCTCTGAGAAGTGCCTTTGATTGTTCTGCTGTGTAGTAATTACAGTAACTGTTTGATTCTTTTAAGTCATTAAATAAGAGGTTGGTATCAGGATCAATGCTTGTAATCATAAGATTTGTAGTGAATCTATAGTTAGAATTAAGTATAAAACAGAGTAAATATTCTAAAGCTAAAAAATAGCACCTGAATTATTTAACAAATGTAAAAATAATGAGCTAAGGTAGTTTTTTAAAGCTAAAATAAAGGAGACAATGTAAAAGGGACTAAAATAATTTGTGGTGAACAAATAAAGTGATGATCAAATAATGGAGCTTGGGAATATGATAGTAGGTAGTACTTTAAAGGTAATTCTTTAAAGTTAGAATTAGGGAAAACAATATAAAAGGGACTAATATAAGTTGTGGTGAACAATAAAGTGGTAATCAAATAAATGAGTTTTGGAATATAATGGCAAAATAGTGAACTTATTACACTTTAGCACCTGAGAATAGCACCTTGATTATTTTAACAGTTGTGAATATATGAACTAGGGTAGTTATATACAGCCAAAATTAAGGAGAAAATATATAAGGGACTAAAATTAAGTAATGGTAAACAAAGTTAAATGGACAGATAGTCACTATGAAATAATATTGGTTTAGGAGTAAGATCTGATTTGTAATATTAAATAAGTTGAGCAGTTTATTGCACAATAAAAAGTAAAAAAATATGAGGTAGTTGGTGTTAGCTAGCAAAAGATAGTTTTGGTACTTGCAAAAAAAGTAATTGAAATTTACACAATTGCACACACAATAAAAAGTGACTAAAACAAGTAGTGGTAAACAAAATTAAATGGACAGGTAAGAACGATGAATAATATTAATTTGGAGTAAGATTTGACTTGTAGCACAAAATTATAAGCAATTAATAGCAGTAAGAAAGAAGTATAAAGTATTGGAGGTAGTTGGCATTAGCTAGTGATGAAAAATAAAAAAATAATAATGCACAATATAATAGTAACGTACACTATATGCACCACAATAGAATAATTGACACTTATCTTTAATAAAGATATGGTGATGATTGATGGGATGGGAGGAGGGGAGAGTGTTGAATCTATTGTTTAGAAGGAGAATCCCCCTTCATTAGGACTTGAGATAGCTTTTCCTCCTGAGTAATGTAGGTCCTTCTTGGCAATTTCTTCCAAAACAGGCCTGTTTCATCACAATTAAACACGTGTTCAGGTTTCAATCCTTCAGCCTCTATGTACTCCTTGAATTCATGCACATATTTTTCAGCCGCTTTGTGGTCTGAACTGGCAGCCTCACCATGCCTAATCACACTATGTATGCCATTACAATTCTTAAATCTTTCAAACCAACCTTTGCTGGCCTTAAATTCACTCACATCACCACTAGTTGCAGGAAATTTCTTTACCAAATCGTCATGCAACTGCCTAGCCTTTTCACAAATGATCGCTTGAGAGATGCTATCTCCTGCTATCTGTTTTTCATTTATCCACACCAATAACAGTCTCTCAACATTTTCTAACACTTGCAGCCGCTGTTTCGTAATCACAGTTGCACCTTTTACAAGAACAGCTTCCTTGATTGCCGTTTTCCTGCTCACTATAGTAGAAATGGTTGATTGGGATTTACTATACAACCTGACCAGCTCCGACGCACGCACTCCACTTTCGTACTTTGCAATTATCTCTTTCTTCATTTCAATAGTCATTAGCACCCTTAGTCTCAAAGGGTTGGCACTAGAAGCTTTCTTGGGGCCCATGGTGACTTATTTTGCAGAAACAAGCACCAAAAACAGTGATAATATGGAATGTACCGATTGTATCCTTAGATGCGCGCACACTGGCTGGCTTGTAAACACTGGTACACACGGGGAAGTTCAGGCCACACGTGGACACGTCTCGTACGAATCACATCACATACCGGGTTTTGTAACGGGAACCGAGGCAAATTTTTGGCGATATAATGCATCGGTTACCGGATTTATCGGATACCGATAGCATCGCGAACCGGGGGTCCACTGTACTATTTCTTTGTACAACTATGTATCATGTCCAAATAAAACATAAATAAATAAATAAATAAATAAATAAATAAAACTTAATTCTAGAGTTAATGTATGACATCTAAGGTGATGCTTATTTTCTGTTAAGTAATTAAGTACATACATGTTTTACTGAAACTCTTGTTGATTATTATAATAGTATTTTAACCATTTTAGTTCTTTGAATTGACTGTATTTCTAAAGTTTGTAGTTTTATGCATGGTAATGATGTATTTTTTAATTGTTGTAAAATTTTTTTTCCCTGCAGTTAAGAGCAGAAACCAAGACAGCCCAGACTTCATTTGCTGAAGTGTTAGAATATTATGGGGAGAGCTCCAGAAGTATGGCTCCTAATACATTTTTTGCTATCTTTGTACGGTTCACCAAAGCTTATAAGGTAATTTATGTCTGTAACATCTTTGTCTTGGCAAACTTTCCACAGAGGATGTCGTTAAATACCACCTTTGTAGACTGTTAGGAAAATATTAATCTCCCAGGTTGAGAGGTTTAACAATAATACAGTAGTTGGTGGAATGTAAGGTCATTTCTTTCTTCTTTTAACAAACAGGCTGTTTCCCACGAAGACAGGGTGGCCCAGAAAGAAAAACGAAAGTTTCTCTTTTTAAATTTAGTAATTTATACAGAAGAAGGGGTTACTAGCCTCTTGCTCCCATCATTTTAGTCACCCCTTACGACATGCATGGCTTACGGAGGAAGAATCCTGTTCCACTTTCCCATGGAGAATAAGGTCATTTATCAAAATATATTAAATAATTTATTGACAAAAAGCCTTAACTACTTTATGTAGTTCTTTAATATTAATCTCTAAGAAATTCGTTTTGAAGATGACCTTCATTACTATTTGTGGGGATTCTTCAGATGTAGGCTTATGGATTTATGGCCAGGCATCAGTTCATTGAATTTATGTGGAAGTGCTTAATGCTACAGGATTAAAGCCACTGCTGTGCTCTTAACAATGCATATGGTACTAATATATCTTTTTATACTGTAGTCTTCAATCCATTAATGTAGTAATACTTACAGTTAAGATGACCTTCAGTGGAACAATAACCATTAAAGAAACTGTTCTAAGCCATCCTTGAATGGCCTAAGGTTAATTAGAACCTGACATAAAGTTTAAATCTAAGTACCTAATTTCACTATGAGAATAGCTGTCGTGTTACAAAACAAGAGAAACAAAGTTAATAATTATTAATTCAGAAGTCTGCTAGTCACAGAGAGAGAAGTGGTAAAAAAGTCCTGTTGACGGCAAAGGATGGGGAAATGGTACATAATAGAATTTTTATAAACCCATTTTATAAACACTTCCATGAGCAGAACTGCACCCACCCAGCAATGTAACAAGACTGAGGGGGAATATATGGAAATTGCACACTTAGCCAAGTCATGAGTAAATCTAAAAAAAAAATTGATGTAAGAATAGTAAAAAGATTAATGAACTGAACAATAACACAGTGGTAGTAGGCTCCATACAGAGGTTTAAAAATAGATATAACAAGGCTGTTTCACATGAGCCAGTCAAGAGTTAGAAGATGGAACTAAAGTCTAGAGCTTCTCTTCCACTTGAACTCAGATAAGTAATCACATTGAAGTAGCAGCTTTTTTACTAGTTCTTACTACATATGGGACAGAACTCGTCCACTCATCCATACTGTATAACATTATTAAATCTGCATTTCTTGACTAGTCTCGGCCAAATAAATGTTAGTCCACTGCACATTGCTTACTTCTCCATAGAAACCAGTTTTATAAATACCAGTAATTTAATGTTGATAATGTTGCCAAATTCATTCTCCAAGCATTTAAAAAAATTCTAAGGAGTCCCCCCCCCCATTACTTCCTCTTCAGCACCATTGCTAAACTAGTTTTCAAGTTTTATGTTTTCTCTAATTGTATCCCTGAGGTAATGCCAGTCACTTTTAGACATCTGGTTTGCATTTCCACAGAGAAGCAGTGTGAAAGAAATGTTGATTGATCAGTTTTAGGAAATAATTTTCTTATCTATCAGGCCTTAATGCTGTGATATGCCACACAACACAAGAATGGCTATTCTTTCCTACCTTGTATGCACTGTTGGAAAAAGTTGATATGCAACCTTTTCTGATAATGTCTCACTTGCTACCCTTAGGGTTCATATGATGTGAATAAAGTACTGTATCTTTATTTTTTACTTTTTTTTTATGACACATGTGGCAGATGTTGCAAATGTATGGAATAGGCGGTAGGTTACTGAAAACAGTTAAGAGTTTTTATGAGGATAGTGAGGCTCAGGTTAGAGTTTGTAGGCCTTAGACAGTGATGCATGATGTCACCATGGTTGTTCAGTATATTTATAGATGGGTTTGTAAGAGAAGTGAATGCTTGGGTGTCGACAAGAAGTGTGGGATTAAGAGATAAAGAATCTAACACAAAGTGGGAGTTGTCACAGTTGCTTTTTATGCTGATGACATTGGTTTTGGGAGATTCTGAAGAGAAGTTGCAGAGGTTGCTGAATGAGTTTGAAAGGATATGTAAAAGAAGGAAATTAAAAGTGAATACGGAAAAGAGCAAGGTGATGAGGATAACAAAAAAATAAGGTAATAAAAGTTTGGATATCAGACTGTAGGGAGGGAATATGGAGGAAGTGAATGTATTTAGATATTTGGGAGTGGACTTGTTAGCAGATAAGTCTGTAGAAGTTGGGGTGAATCATAGAGTTGATGAGGGGAAAAAAGAAACATAATCCATGGCAGCAAAGCAAGGAATGTATGAGAGTATAATGGTACCAACGCTCTTATATGGGCTTGAAGCATGGGTGGTGAATGTTGCAACAAGAAGGCTGTAGGCAGTGGAGATGCTGTGTCTGAGGGCAATGTGCAGTGTGAATGTAAGGCAGAGAATCCGTAGCTTGGGGATTAGAAAGAGGTGCAGGGTTTCTAAAAGTACATATTATCCAGAGGGCAGAGGAAGGTTGAGGTGGTTTGGACATTTAGAAAGGATGGAATAAAATAGAATGAATTGGAGGGCATATAAATCAGTAGTGGAAGGAAGGCTGGGTAGGGGTCATCCTAGGAAGGGGTGGAGGGAGGGGGTAAAGGAGGTTTTGTGTGCAAGGGCGTGGACTTCTGGCAAGCGTGCACGAGCGTGTTAGATTGAAGCAAATGGAGACAAATAGTTTTCATGACTTGACGTGCTGTTGGAGTGTGAGCAAAGTAACATTTATGAAGGGATTCAGGGAAATCAGTTAGCCAGACTTGAGTCCTGGAGGTGGGAAGTACAGTGCCTGTAGGAGAGGTGTTGATATGTTGCAGTTTGTAAACTGTAGTGTGGGCAAGCCAATTTTGGTTTTTAGATCCATTTAGCTCTACCTCTCAAAAAGGCTCACGTATCACTGGTGATGGGCTGTTGATCACATTGTTGAGGGACTGCTGGTGCAAAATAAACCTAGTGAGAAGCAGGGGTGTGGTGGGGACAATAAGGAAACACTGTATCAACATTTGTGGCCCCAGACTATTCAACATCTTACCAGAAGATATCAGAGACATGGCTGGAACAAGTGTAGAAGCCTTCAGGAGGAAACTGGACAGGTATCTTCACCAAGTGCCAGATCAGCTGGGCTGTGATGGATATGTGGGGCAGTGGGCCTCCAACAGCAACAGCCTGGTTGACCAGGCAAGCAGCAAATGAGCTTGACCCATGGCCAGGCTCCGAGAGTAGTGAGACTCTTGAAACTCATCAATGATATATCAAAGGTCAAAGGTAATGATTTATTCACAATAGCACTAAATTGGTAATGATTGTAGCCAAATGTTCAAAATAACAAGATATTAATTTTGATACTAGTTAGACAGTAATATCTGAAACTTAAACAGGTTCTAAAGTGTCAAATATCCACTGGGCTCTATTGCTGTTTACATCAGTCACCTCAAATCAGTCTATATATAATTTGATAGCATTTTCCTTAGTAAACTTATTAATCACTACGTCCTTCTTCGTTTAATTTCCTCTGATGTGGATGCTATATTAGTGCTTTTATCAAAACAAAATTCATGGAGTTCATAACTGCATGCATATTACAAATTATTTATTTAAATTAAATTTTTATCCTGCAAATAGGTTGTTGAACAAGAAAATGAACAAAGAAGAAGATTGGAGGCTGCCAGTCGGGCTGCAGCTCTTAACCAACAGAAGCAACAGCAGCAGCAAGAAGAACGTCAGCAGGTGGCACGTAACAATAAAATCAATGTTCGTAAACAACAGGTTAGTCAAAGTTATTGTCTGTGCTTAATATTCTCAAATCTTCAGTTTAAGTATTATTGAAGGTTCTTTCAGTGCTAAGCAGATACATCATGTTTTTCCTGATTAGTGACTGTTACTATAAAGGTAGATAGGAAAGGCAATCTATTGATAAATTAATTAAATTGTATTTGACTGTGTTCTTCATAAGTTGGAAGGATTCATTTGCTCTTGACAGATAGGATTTTAAGAAAGTGTGAGTACCACTAGGTGGCATGTCTTATGATCAACAGATGAAGGATAACACCTCTACCCGTTCTTGTGCTGAATGACCCACATGGGTTTTATCCTTCACCTGTATGTATAGTGTTTTTCTCATAGTTAAAATCTGATAGATACTTCTAGTACTTGCTCTTTCCAGCCTGATCTTAAGAACCATAAAACCCTCTCTATTAATAGACCACATCTGGACAAACACCATATCCCCTTTAAAATCAGGCATAATCACAGACAACACTACAGACCACTACCCAACCTTTCTCATAACTGATCTGGGTAAATTGCCACAAGACATTACTAAAGTAACCTTCAGACTACATAACAAGACAGCTGTTAACAACTTTATAGCAGCTATGAATAACATCGATTGGCAAAATGAGCTTGAAACATATACGGATATGAATGAATGTATAAATAATGTTCTAAAAAAAGCCCAATGCCTCTACAACAAACATTGCCCCCAAAAAACTAAACAGATCACAGCAAAGAGACTGAATAGTCCCTGGCTAACACCCAGCGTCCTTAAATCCATTAACACAAAGCACAAATATGAAAAACAGTATAGAATGGATCAGATAGCTAGAGAACAGTCTAAACGTTACTCGTCAGCTCTTACCAGCCTGATAAGAAGATCGAAAAAATTGTATTATAAAAATAGATTACAAAACATCAAAGGTAATATGAAAAAAACCTGGAAAACTCTATCTGAAATTATTGGAACTAAAAAGTTATCCAAAAACAAAACAATCAAGCTAACAAAATCAGACGAACCTCTACTCACACCAACTGAAACAGCAAACAGACTCATAATGATAACACAAGACACAGATCTCTTTTTGATGTACCTCGTGTCTGTATCACACTGTGTAAAAACTCTATGCACGTAAAGGGCCCCAAAATATGGAACTCATTACCAGAAGATGCTAAAGTAACCCGGTCTGAAAATCAATTTAAGACTCTTCTCAAAAGCCACTTAATCACCCTAGACTAAATGATAAATACTCAGTACACACATGCTCACTTATGTATTCTCACATCATAATTTCAGCAATAACTTTGAACCTTTTATCCATTGTTGACAGGAATATAATTGAATCATTGTTTTCACAAAAAGCATTTTTGAATATATGAATATATCTTTTGGCTTATATAAATTAGATTCACTTATAATTAATAATCTACTGCACAACTATGATATAATTAATATTCTACTGTACAACTATGACATAATTCTTAGTGTTAAGTAGTCTGTAAGCCAATAATATTAAGTCAGCCCATAATGCCTAGGGATAATAGAGGCTCTCTTTGCATTGCAACCCATTATTGTAAATACAAAATCTCAATGTACTTTTTGCAAAGACATAATTAAATAAATAAATAAATAAATAAATGATAATTTTTTTTTTTTTAACAAGTCGCCGTCTCCCACCGAGGCAGGGTGACCCAAAAAGAAAGAAAATCCCCAAAAAGAAAATACTTTCATCATTATTCAACACTTTCACCACACTCACACATAATCACTGTTTTTGCAGAGGTGCTCAGAATACAAGAGTTTAGAAGCATATACGTATAAAGATACGCAACATATCCCACCAAACTGCCAATATCCCAAACCCCTCCTTTTAAGTGCAAGCATTGTACTTCCCATTTCCAGGACTCAAGTCCGGCTATATAAAAATAACTGGTTTCCCTGAATCCCTTCACTAAATATTATCCTGCTCACACTCCAACAGCTCGTTAGGTCCCAAATACCATTCGTCTCCATTCACTCCTATCTAACATGCTCATGCACGCTTGCTGGAAGTCCAAGCCCCTTGCCCACAAAACCTCCTTTACCCCCTCGCTCCAACCTTTTCAAGGATGGCCCCTATCCCGCCTTCCTTCCCCTACAGATTTATATGCTCTCCATGCCATTCTACTTTGATCCATTCTCTCTAAATGACCAAACTACCTCAACAACCTCTCTTCAGCCCTCTGACTAATACTTTTATTAACTCCACACCTACTCCTAATTTCCACACTCCAAATTTTCTGCATAATATTTACACCACACATTGTCCTTAGACAAGACATCTCCACTGCCTCCAACCACCTCCTCTCTGCAGCATTTACAACCCAAGTTTCACACACATATAAGAGTGTTGGTACTACTATACTTTCATATATTCCCTTCTTTGCCTCCATAGATAACGTTTTTTTGTCTCCACATATACCTCAACGCACCACTTGCCTTTTTTTACTTCAATTCTATGAGTAACCTCATCCTTCATAAATCCATCCACTGACACGTCAGCTCCCAAATATCTGAAGACATTCACTTCTTCCATACTACTCCTTCCCAGTTTGATATCCAATTTTTCTTTATTTAAATCATTTGATATTCTCATCACCTTACTCTTTTCTCTGTTCACTTTCAACTTTCTACCTTTACACACACTCCCAAACTCATCCACTAACCTTTGCAATTTTTCTTTAGAATCTCCCATGAGCACAGTATCATCAGCAAAAAGCAACTGTGTCAATTCCCATTTTGTATTTGATTCCCCATAATTTAATCGCACCCCTCTCCCGAACACCCTAGCATTTACTTCTTTTACAACCCAATCTATAAATATATTAAACAACCATGGTGACATTACACATCCCTGTCTAAGACCTACTTTTACCGGGAAGTATTCTCCCTCTCTTCTACATACCCTAACCTGAGCCTCACTATCCTCATAAAAACTCTTTACAGCATTTAGTAACTTAGCACCTATTCCATATACTTGCAACATCTGCCATGTTACTCCCCTATCCACTCTATCATGTGCCTTTTCTAAATCCATAAATGCAATAAAAACTTCCCTACCTTTATCTAAATACTGTTCACATATATGCTTCAATGTAAACACTTGATCTACACATCCCCTACCCACTCTAAAACCTCCTTGCTCATCTGCAATCCTACATTCTGTCTTACCTCTAATTCTTTCAATAATAACCCTACCGTACACTTTTCCTGGTCTTTCTTTCAACACACCGGCCGTATCCCACCAAGGTGGGGTGGCCCAAGAGGAAAAACGAAAGTTTCTCCTTTCAAATTTAGTATCATATACAGGAGAAGGGGTTACTTGCCCCTTTCTCCCAGCATTTCAGTCGCCTCTTACGACATGCATGGCTTACGGAGGAAGAATTCTGTTCCACTTCCCCATGGAGAACTTTTCCTGGTATACTCAGTAAACTTATTCCTCTATAATTTTTACAATCTCTTTTGTCCCCCTTCTTTTTATATAAAGGGACTATACATGTTCTCCACCAATCCATAGGTACCTTCCCCTCTTTCATACATTTATTAAACAAAATTACCAGCCACTCCAACACTATATCCCCCCCTGCTCTTATCATTTCTGTCATGATGCCGTCAGTTCCAGCTGCTTTACCCCCTTTCATTCTATGTAATGCCTCACTTGCCTCCCCCACACTCACATTCTGCTCTTCTTCACTCCTAAAAGATGGTATACCTCCCTGGTCAGTGCATGAAATTACCGCCTCCCTTTCTTTGTCGACATTTAATAGTTCCTCAAAATATTCTCGCCATCTACCCAATACCTCCATCTCCCCATCTACTAACTCCCCTACTCTGTTTTTAACTGACGAATCCATTTGTTCCCTAGGCTTTCTTAGCTTGTTTAACTCACTCCAAATTTTTTTCTTATTTTCATTAAAATTTCTTGACAGTGCCTCTCCCACTCTATCATCTGCTCTCCTTTTGCACTCTCTCACCACTCTCTTCACCTTTCTTTTACTCTCCATATGCTCTACTCTTCTTATAACGCTTCTGCTTTGTAAAAACCTCTCATAAGCTACCTTTTTCTCTTTTATCACACCCTTTACTTCATCATTTATTTTGGTTCTTTTTATTGTTTTCCTTTCGTTTTCTTGTATTATAATATTTATTGAATTAGGTTGATTCTGTAATTTTATTGTACTCTTAACAAGCTAGAATCATAAGTAGATTGATAATTCACCACAAACTCTGACACAATCATAGATAATACCCACAATATTTGTTTATTAGAAATATGTATGTGTATGGAAGATAAATATTATTTAAACAGTAAATCATGTTCTTCATTATGAATTTGTTCAGTTCATAAAATTGTTTGTCTCAGGAAAGGTATACACCTAGAGGAAATCATACAAAAACATTTTATAGTAGAAGGCAGGAAATCTTATGCTGGTAGGTAAGACACATAGGCAACAGTTAGGCAACTTTATTCCGAAACGTTTCGCCTACACAGTAGGCTTGTTCAGTCGAATACAGAAAGTAGGCAGGAACAGTAGAGATGTGAAGACGATGTAATCAGTCCATCACCCTTGAAGTCGTAGAATTTGAGGTTGTCAGTCCCTCAGCCTGGAGAAGTTCAGTTACATAGTCAGGAACTATCTGAAGATCAAGCGACAGTGCGGAGACTTAAGTCTCCGCACTGCGGAGTGCGACAGTGCGGAGACTTAAGTCTCCGCACTGTCGCTTGATCTTCAGATAGTTCCTGACTATGGAACTGAACTTCTCCAGGCTGAGGGACTGACAACCTCAAATTCTACGACTTCAAGGGTGATGGACTGATTACATCGTCTTCACATCTCTACTGTTCCTGCCTACTTTCTGTATTCGACTGAAGAAGCCTACTGTGTAGGCGAAACGTTTCGGAATAAAGTTGCCTAACTGTTGCCTATGTGTCTTACCTACCAACCTGTCGGTATTGTATACCATTTTGATGTTCAAATCTTATGCTGTTTATTTATTTTAAATTAAAGCAGTTTATTCATTTTGGAGGTATGTGCAGTAAATGGAGCTTATTAAATCTGCTATAATCTGGGTTGAATCTAACAATGAATCTTGAATTGATAGTTATACCAAAACCTTGCCATTTTTTAAAATTAACTAATTTCATGCAGTGGACTCTTTCAAGGAGTTGTATTATTTTCACTAAGTGGTAGCCTAGTTAGTTGCCATTGTCTCAGATAATTGTGATGGAGCATCTAGGCAAGATTATCCCTGCCAATATATCACAACTTATTGTGACTCCTCCTCCTTCTTCTATGCCTTGTGGGGGTGTGATGATATTTACCCCAGAATACACTTGGCATCTCACTTACATACAATACAGCCTTACTGTAAATGCTGAGCCTTCATTTTTAATGTTTAACCAAGGATTACTCTACCAAGCAAGCTAATTACCAGTGGCAGACTATCATTAGTGATAATTCCTGCCAGGCAACCTCACTGATCCTGCAGCTGGAGGTTTGCCTTGTTCATTTGCTTACCTCACTTCATACTATCTACACTGATTTGCATGACTAGGCACATGTGGTTACATACAAAATATAGTGTGTCAAGTAAAAGCTCCTGGAGAGCAAAATGTTGCCACAATAAAATGTCACATTAGTTACACTTGTGTTCTTGTACTTAACATATTGTCAGTAATTCTACCAACATTAATACAAAATATAGTGTCTTTCACATATGATTGGATGGTAGCACCTCCCTGTATGGTTGCTTTCTACCAATGTTAATACTCACTATATATGTTTATGCTGTGATGACCCTCAGAAAATTCAGGTATCACACCTATACATGCCAGTAAGAACTATCTTGCATTTTTTCACTTGGTTTTGCCTCCTCTCAGTTGCCATTTCTTACTGTGGTTGATCAGACAGTCAACAAGAAATTCTGGACTCAGACCAGGCTGCAAAGGTAGACGAGCTCATGAAACTGGTTACAGATATTTTGGAGGGATGTCTCATGTTAAATCATCTAGTCCAAATGTTACTTTTTTATTTTTGTAGCTCAGTCTTGTGCTTCTCACTGTATATTCTCATTGTGCTGAAGATGTTGCTGGTTCTTCATCCACCTGAAATTTAGTCCCTTTAAGGTTCTTATGAAAGCCCTTGGTTTATTGGGTGATTCCATATTTGCTAGACTGTGGCATTCCATTTATCATTTCCATACAGTGTTTTTCAGAAAGAATGTCAAAAGCTATTCTAGGTCGTATATAGCAATAACACCAGCATATATAGATGATTGAAATCATATCCATATACTGTAATATAAAGAGCAACAAGAAGTTTTATGTGAAATTAATTAATGTATGTAGTATATTGTAGCTGCAAGTTCCTATATGATAATTAACCAATGGGAGGATATTTTCTGCATATACTATACATAGATTTAGGCTAGTGATCATTCCCATGAAGTGTGTCCTCCTATGTACAGTTACCAGTAAGGTTCCTTAAGGAATATTTGATAATTGTTATAAGTAAGCTTAACATCTCTTTAGAAATACTAGTTGTATAGCAGCCCATCCAAGGCTTTTTTGTACAACAAGGTAAGCTACCTGTTGAAAATGTAGGCCAGAAGATATCACAGTATTGTGACTATTTTTTTGCTAAGAAACTTAAGCAAGTAAAAACTCTTTCAAACATAATGTCTTGTAATGATGAATTGAATATATTAAAATTTAAGAAATAAAATTCATGAAAAAAGAGTCATGGAATTAACTTGTTTCTAAGAAGGATTTTCACTAAATGTGTTTGCATTAATTTTCCCAGGTACAATTTTGTTTAAAATTATAAAATTGAATGATGGAGTTAAGCTTCAGGGTTGCATAATATGAAGCTGGTAATTTGTATATAATTAAAATTTTTCTTTAGGGTCATTTTATCATGATAACATTATAAGTTAGAATTATAAATAACTTAACCTATGTTTTATGTTGTTGTGTTCATTGTGAATTTATTTTAAATTACAATAAATTTAAATTCTTGTTCTGTCTACATTTAAATATACGTAATTTACTTTAACTATATGTTTATGCTAATTATCTGTGTTTTTCTCATTTTTGCTTTCTCGTCTTTTCTTCAGGGATATGGAGGAGAGGTAATTTTGATAGTTCACATTATATTGTTGTTTTAATAAAACTAACACTGAATATGTTGTGTGCATTAGTAATTTTAATACTTTGTGGTTCAATGTGATATGATCAGAAACCTGCATAATTGTAAAAAAAATGTACAGAACAGTATTGTTGCCTTAACATATTGATATCTCTGATATATGTAAAATACTGTATTTAATTCATCACTGTTATAACCTGGTCATAGTTCTCTTCATTGACATCCAGCATTTACTGTCTCCACTTGAAGTTGAATCATAAAACACTTAATTATTACCAGATGCTGGCATATCCTTGCTGTGACAGACTTAATGTGATCTGTTACTATGCTTATGTAGCTAAGCCAGAGGATACTTATAATTCTGTGCTTACATCATAGGCTATGTAGCACTATTGTCAGTCACTGCTTAGGGGTGTACACGTATATGGGCCTTCTGAACAAGCTTTTTGGTAATCTCGCACCTCCTCATCTTCTTCAGCTACAAATTATCTACAAAAAATTCGCACCACACATTGCCCACAGACATAACATCATGTCATCTGGCCTGAATTATACTTTTACATTTCATATTGTAATTTAAATACAGAATATATCACAGGAAGGTCAGGTCTTTAACTCTTTCAGGGTCGACAGGCCCTCTCAGAGACTTGTTCTCAGGGTCGGCCAAATTTCAAAAAAAAAAAAAAAAAAAAATTTTTCTTATGAAAAGATAGAGAATCTTTTCCTGATCATAATGACACCAAAAGTATGAAATTTGATGGAAAACTTTTGGACTTATGCTTTCGCGAAGTTAGCAGACTTGACGATGTTTACGCATTGGCGATTTTGCCCACTTTGAGCCCTATTTTCGGCCAATTCCAGTGTACTTGTCAACAAAAACCATAAATATTTCGCTAGAACTCCATTTTTCTGTCGAATGAGTACAAGAAACCACCCATTTACCGATTTCAACTATCCAATACAGTGGTCAGAATTTAGAAATTTTGCCAATTTCACACAAATTTCAAAAGATGCCAATTTCCGAATAGGGTCCAGAATAAACAAGAAAGACATTCCTGGCACTATAATAACATTTCCTCTGTTCATTAGTCATGCCCCCATGCCCCTCTTACATTCTTTTGCTTTCCACTTTGAATTTTTATTTTCACAAAAAAATAGAAGATTTACTGTTATGCAGACTACTGCATTGGTGTAGAAATGGTATAAATATTATCAGCGCACTTGTGAAAGAATATTAGACTCACCAGTTGACGTGTTTTGGACGCATAGCATGATTTGTTTACTTTTGAACTTTGGTAAAAATCGAACATTTCTGCTACTTTGAGTGCAATTTCAGGGTAGTTTTCTTTGTCAAAATCATCTCAATTTCTGTAATATGTCTTCCATTCTATAAAATGAGACCAGGAAAACTAGAATACAACAATAAATACCATACGAAAATACAGTGCAAAGTCGCTGTTTTAATCTAAAAACACGGTCAAAGTTTTTTTTCCTCATTACGCACTGTGTGCTGCAGGATTTTTTTATACCATGCACACTGACCACATAGACCCATTCTTTCATATGTAGACCTACCAGCTTTCTCTCACTAGATTTGAGGGCACTAGAATTTAGGCGTATTAGTACGTCAAAAACCCTGGTGCATAAGCCGTACTAGTACAGCCGAAACCCTGAAAGGGTTAAAAATTTAATTATTATTAAATTAAAAACAGTTATTTGGTTTTTAATGACCCCTTCACCAAAAATATTACACGACAGTACTTTACCATAATCAAATAATAAAAATCTCATTCCTTTATTCTTTGCTGATTACACTGTGCTTTTAGGAGATTCTGAAGAGAAGTTACAGAGGTTGGTTGATGAGTTTGATATGGTATGTAAAAAGAAGGAAATTAAAAGTGAATGCAGGAAAGAGTAAGGTGATGAGGATAACAAAAAATTTAGGTAACAGAAGATTGGATATCAGATTGGAGGGAGAGAGTATGGAGGAGGTGAATGTATTCAGATATTTGGGAGCGGATGTGTCAGCAGATGGGTCTATGAAAGATGGGGTGAATCATAGAATTGATGAGGGGAAAAAGGTGAGTGGTGCACTGAGGAGTCTGTGGAGAAAAAGAACTTTCTCCATGAAAGCATAGAGGGGAATATATGAGAATGTAGTTATACCAACACTCTTGTATGGGTGTGAGGCATGGGTGGTGAATGTTGCAACAAGGAGAAGGTTGGAGGCAGTGGAGATGTCATGTCTGAGGGCAATGTGTGGTGTGAATATAATGCAGAGAATCCATGGTTTGGAGATTAGGAGGATGTGTGGGATTACCAAAACTATTATCCAGAGGGCTGAGGAGGGATTATTGAGATGGTTTGGACATGTAGAGAGGATGGAACAAAATAGAATGACTTCGAGAGTGTATAAATCTGTAGTGGAGGGAAGGCGGGGTAGGGGTTGGCCTAGGAAAGGTTGGAGGGAGGGGGTGAAGGAGGTTTTGTGTGTGAGGGGCTTGGACATCCAAGAAGCATGCTTGAACATGTTAGATAGGAGCAAATGGAGACAAATGGTTTTTAGGACTTAACATGCTGTTGGAGTGTAAGCAAAGTAACATTTATGTAAGGATTCATGGAAACCAGCAGGCCAGACTTGGTTCCTGGAGATAGGAAGTACAGTGCCAGCACTCTGAAGAAGGGGCGTTAGTGTTGCAGTTTTACAACTGTAGTGTAAGCATGCCTCTGGCAAGACAGTGATGGAGTGAATGATGATGAAAGTTTTTCTTTTTCAGGCCACCCTGCCTTGGTGGGAAACAGCCAGTGTGTTAATAAAATACAAATAAAAATAAACATGAGCATAACACACATTCACCAAAGTTGTATTTTTTTTTTCTTGGCACACTGGGTGTCCCCCACCAAGGTAGGGTGACCCAAAACAGAAACAATTTCACAATCATTCACTTCAGTCACTGTCTTGCCAGAGATGCACTTATACTATAGTTCAGATGCTCCTCCAAACTGCAAATATCATTATTTCCTCTGTCAGATTACAGCCACTATATATTTCACTTCCAGGACTCAAGTCTGGCTAACTGGTTTTCCTGAATCCCTTTACAAAATGTTACTTTGCTCACACTCCAACAGCTTTTCAAGTCCCAAAAACCATTTGCCCCTCACTCCTACCTAAAACACTTGCATATATCTGCTGGATATCCAAGTCCCTCACACACAAAACTTGTACCCTCTCCATCCAACCTTTCCTAGGGCAACCCCTACCCCACCTTAATTCCACTACAGATTTATGCACCCTTAAAGTTATCCTATTTTGCTCCATCCTCTGTAAATGTCAAAACCATATCAACAACCTCTCCTCAGAGTTAGTTTTAGTAACTTCACCTCCTAATCTCCAAACTGCAAATTCTCTGCATAATATTTACACCACACATTGCCCTCAAAAATTGACATTTCCACTGCCTCCAGTCTCCTCCTCACTGCAACATTCACAGCCCATGCTTCACACTCATCTAAGTGTGTTGGTACCATTATACTCTCATGCATCCCCATCTTTGCCTCCATGGATAATGTTCAATCTCCACAGATGCCTCGGTTCACCACCAACCTTTTTTCCTTCACCAGTTCTGTGGTTCTCCTCATCTTTCATGTACCCATCCACCAATAAGTCCACTCATAAATAGTTCTCTGTATATACACTGCACTTATGATACTGATCACTCATATAAATGCACATTCTTTATGGTATATGTAGTCATTTACTTAATGCACAAATTGATATTAATATACAGTATTCACATAAAACTACATTTATTTACAGTGGTCCCTGAAGTTATGTTTTTTGAAGTTAGAATTTACTCCTCATAGAGGAATTTTGTTTTGAGTTGTAATTAAAAATTGGAGGTATGATATGTGTATGATGGTATGACTTTATATACAGTATTATGCCAATGCTATCAGCTAGGCCTGTAATAGTTGTATCATGTACAAATATTCATAGGTTCGAACCCAAAGCATTCCCACATTCTTCTTTCAACACACTGGCCGTATTCCACCAAGGGGGGGTGGCCCAAAAGAAAAAACGAAAATTTCTCCTTTTACATTTAGTAATATATACAGGAGGAGGGGTTACTATCCCTTTGCTCCTGGCATTTTAGTCGCCTCTTACAACACGCACGGCTTATGGAGGAAGAATTTTTTTCCACTTCCCCATGGAGAATTATTATTATTATGATTATTTTTATTATTTTTATTATGGAAGCTTGCCTCTTAGGCAGCATTTGAGCCAATAGGGCTCTGGTGGCCTGGTGGTTAACGCTCTCGCTTCACACGGTGAGGGCCTGGGTTCGATTCCCAGCCAGAGTAGAAACATTGGACGTGTTTCTTTCCACCTGTTGTCTATGTTCCCCATCAGTAAAATGGGTACCTGGGTGTTAGTCGACTGGTGTGGGTCGCATCCTGGGACACTGACCTAAGGAGGCCTGGTCACAGACCGGGCCGCGGGGGCGTTGACCCCCGGAACTCTCTGCAGATAAACTCCAGATAATAGGCACATCAGTTCTTGTGTGGGTGGGCCTTAGCTAACCAGTGATGTGGTAGCTTTCTTCTTGGAGAGCCTCTGAACCAATTAGAGTTGGGGTCTGTGAGGGGTGGCTTAGCAGCCAATCAGCAACAAGGCTGAATGTCTCTATGGTAGCATCTCAGCCAATAGCAGAGTTTGTAATGCAGTTTTACTCTTCAGATTGAAGCTGTCATGACTGTTTTCCACAATAACTCTGGATTATTTATGCTTCATATCTGCATTTGTGGGAGCAAGGGGCTAGTAACCTCTTCTCCTGTATACATTACTAAATTTAAAAAAGAGAAACTTTCATTTTTCTTTTTAGGTCACCCTGCCTTGGTGGGATATGGCCAGTTTGATAAAAGAAAAAACTGCATTTGTGTTATAATTACAGCATCTTTTGCATTACCAAGTCATTATGCCCC